ATAAGCGTCTCTTCTGTTCTTAGCAACTGCTGTTGCAAGGAGGACAAAAGACCATTGTTGGGCTCTTACTTACGCAGTTACTTTCTCCTGCAAACAATTTAAGTGCGTACTTTCATGTTTTGGTGCCTTATGGAAGTGGCTGCTTTGTAAGAAAGGAGGAGTTGCTGGCTGCAGGACTTGTGAGCAGCAGGTTGGGGTTCCTGCGTCTTGTGAAACTGGGCATCGAGGAGAACTTGCCTGGGTGCCGAGGTGGTGGGGCCGCTTCTTGGCAGAAGAACCTTCTGCTTCCAGGCAACTCATCCCAGGCCTTGTTGCTGATCAGGAATAGATAGAAATAGACAGAAACTCTGAGGGCAGGGGAAAGGTTTGGGTGATCCAGCCTCCTAGCATGGAAAATACTGGCTTTTTTGGTTTGTTTTTTTGTAATTTAAATCACAGAGAAGATGTGTAATGGGATAGATGACACTAGCGGCATCTGACCATCCTAGTATATTCCAAATGCTCATCTTCACAAGTATTGTTAGTTTGCAGTAGGGACTTTGCACACAGGTAGCAAAATGAAGGAAGGTCTGTCTTTTTGAATTTCAGAACTTTCTTTGTACAAGTTTTTGTGTCCTTCTGTCTTAAGTGACTCATGGTGCTACGCTTTGTGCATGCTACATAGACCCTGCTCTGCTAGTGAAAATAATGGCTACAAGGGTGCCAGTCCTTGCAGTGGGACTTCAGTAAGCAACTTTTAAACTAATTTGACTTCCCTGAAATCCAGAAACTCATTTGCCAATTCAAGAAGAGGTGGTGTTCCCTTGTGCCATGCTGAACGCTAGAACTCTCACAAGAAGATACACAGATACTTCAAACCTGCTTGATAATAGAAAAGCAACTCACTGCTGTTCTCCTTTGGAGCGGCTCTTTCCCAGGCAGACAGGATAGCTGCTGCTGTAAGTGGGCTGTATGGGAGGAGCAGGCTGATCTCCTGAAGTCCCAAGATCATCTTCCATTCCTGGTTGTTCCCTGTTTGCTCTGTGACCTGCGAGTTATCTGCCACTATGTTTGTTTTGCCTGTTTTCTAGATAGCAAGCTATTCAGTGGAGGAAGTGCCTTTTACTTTCTGTGCAGAATTTGAGCTCAAGTTGCTCTTGGAAAAAAAAAATTGCAGCTGGTTGAGAAGTCAGTCACTAATTTTTGCTAACCAAATTGTAGCTGAGATAAATTTGCCTGAAGAGTACTTTCCTTTATTGAAAATGACACTGTAGCTTTACATGCAATGAATTTTAAACCATGTAAATACTTAAAAGTGCTCATGCTAGCTAAGCTTTTCCTATTTTAAATGTGCTTGAGGCCGCTTCAAAGCAGCAGCTTTGCTGCTCCAGGGAAAAGCACTTTAACTCTAGATACTGCATAAATTTACCAGTGACTGTCAGATTTTCTTTGACCTGTCTCTGTAATGTAGATTGTAAGGGAGAGATCCTTCAGGTAACCGATGGAGTAACCTCATACCTCCAATTTGAGATTACTGCTAAAAATGGCTTGTTTACCTGGATGCACTGGTTGACGTGGCCTGTGGCTTGAGTTGATCGAGCATTTCACCTCTTGTCTCATAAGATTCTGTTTCAACTAGTAGTGGAATTGAGACTGAAATAAAGGGGGTGAAATTATGACCCTACTGAAGTCATTAGCAATGCTGCTGTTGACTCAAGCAAGGCTAGGACCTCAGCCAAGGTTTTTTAGTTGTTTAATTTATGGTAACATATTAATTGAGTTGTATTAAAACACGGTTTTGAAAAAGTTAATCTTTAGCTTTGTGATACCATCTCTATTCCATAAATATTGTACATAGTGTTACTAAAAGTTTACCTTTTTTGGGTAGGTTGATAGAGGTAGAAGATTTTAATTTATTTTTATAATCCATGTGTTTTCACTCCTGGGAAAGAACTAAAGTATGCAGATGTCATTATTTCTATAAATGAAAGGGACTTTATCCTAAATCTTCTAATTCTTTTATAGTATATGGCAGCAGAGCTATCTAACGCTGTATCCTGCAGGAAATATTTGGCATACTTGTAAGCTCCAGGGAGAGGAGAAGTAGGATGATAACATCCATTAGTGTTGCTTTTGAATGAGAACTTGCATAAAGACTTTCTCTTAAAAAAAAAAAAAAAAAAAAAAACAAAAAACCACCAAAACCAAAAAAACCCCCACAAAACCCACTACTAGACTTAAAGGCTTTTTTAGCAAAAGGAATGTATTGCAAGCTTTTGACCTTCCTGTGCTCTAAAGCGTTACTGGTGTGTACACTGGCAAAGCTTGTTGATCAGTGGACTCTTCTGAAACTGTGTGCTGCCTTTTTAGAAAGTTGACATCTGGACTGTATTTATTATACTATTTTTCTCTTAGCTGGATGTGTCAGAGTAGATTTTCCTCCTTTAACATTTAATAAACTTTGTTTCTGTAATTTGACAGAAAAGATTATTTATCTAGTTTTAAAGGCACAGCAAATAATGTGTTCCCAACCTCTGATGACAATGAGAACAAATTGAACTTTTTTAAAATGTAAATGTGTATTTTGCTGTACTTTTCTTACTTCTCTTACCTGCTGGAATAGTTTTAGCATTAAGCATATTTAAATACACATCTAGAAACAGGCAAGACTGCTTTTATTATTGCTTATAGTCATGAATTATGTTAATGTAAACACTGCAGTAACAGGGCAACTAGAAGTAAAGACTTGGGAAACAAGAATTGGCATCTGAGGTCTTTTTTTCTGCTTATCAGTCTTCACATTTGTCTTGTACGTGGTGACTTGGCTGGGTAGAAATGGGATTTTTTTCATTAAGAGTCAAAGTGTGTTGTTCCCCTTGTAGCAGTCTCAAAGTACACCCAGTTTGTGTTGCGTATTGATGGTATCTTGGCAAAAAGGAAACCCAGTTATCCATTAGATAATTCTCAGAGTAATCTTTGTAACCAGCTCTTCAGGTACTACCTTCCAAGCTTTTTCATGCAAGGAGCAAAGCTAGCATAGTCAACAAGTTTGAAGGGAGCTACCCTCTCTGTCTCTGGAAAGGTTTGGGTAATTGAGTACAGTGACTTCTAATCTTTCATATTCTGTATTTTTTCCAACGAAGTTTGTCTTGTGAGGAAAAATGGAACAAAAATGGTTTTAGACAGGTTGATGTGGTTGCTTCCAAGAAGCAGATGCCATCGATAAAATCAGGTACCTTGGTTAACCCCTCTAGTACTGCAGGCTGCGATTTGGTAACTGGGCCTGTGATAAATATCCCATAGGTTGTTTGCAGAATGGTTTTGTTCAGTGTTTTCAGTTAAGAATTTTCTCCCTCAAAACCTAGGGGCTGATACTGTTCTGTCAGGTCAAATGGATGAGCCGTACACCTGAAGCTCATACCTAGCTTGTGTAGGCTACTCTGCCGTGATGAGTTTGTGAAGCTGCCATGAGTGAGCTTCTTCAGTCCCCAGTACTTCTTGCTCGTGGGTGGAGAAGTGCACATACTCCCATCTCTTAGCAAGGGGTCACCTCTGCTAGTGCAGTTGTCCTGTGGGGTTTCCATGATTAAAGAGGACTGGAAGGTAAGAAGAAATGAGATTGTGTCTGTTCTCCTTGAAAATCTGAGGTAACATCCCTCCTGTATATGCAAAGTTGAAATTTCAAGTGCTTTATTCTCTCATTTTTGCAGATGTTAAGTATAATGTGAGGACAGGGATGCTTCTGAGCTGTCTATCTGATCAAGTAGTGCAGGTCTGAAGGTATTAAATACCTAAGTAAATGCAAACGAGCTACAAAACTGGGGTACACAGCATGGTGGAGGAAGATATTTATGAAGACTGCAAAAGATTGTGCCTAAATTCCCCCCTGGTAAATGAACATTTCCATTATAAGTATCTTAGCTGAGAAATATGCAAGCACACAAAATGTGTACTTGTCATTCTTAAAGTAGCTGGCTTCCAAACTTTAATTCCTGAACAACTGTTGAATGGCAGGAGCACTTCCACTCTTTCAATGCAAATCCGCATAATAAAATCCTTATCTTCACACACTTCCAAGTTGCTAGTGGCAGGCACTGTCTCACTTGAAATGGGATCTTTCTTCAGTAATTTACTGCCATTGAATCATGGCTGAGTTAGACCTCATCATCCCTTTGTGTGGGTTATCTGAAGACCGGACCTAGGTTTAAGAAAAAAAAGAGCTGCAGTAACATCATTTGTGATTGCTGTGATGTGAACTTGGTCACATTTCCTGCCTAGAATATCCCATATGTAAACCTTGCAATAAATTCTGTTTAAACATGTTCTGCTTTAAATCTGCCTCTGTCTTAAAAACGAAATGTGCATTTGCTATCTTCATTGGTAAGTGTACTGTACCACTTTGCACTCATAAATTAATTTCTTAATGAATTCATGTAGCCTCATGGCCATAAATATATTTTCAAACTAGCTAAGAGTCTGCAATAAGCAGTGCAAAGAATCTTGTTTAAAATGTGCTTTACTGTACTTTGAAACTGGCTTCTACAGAGACTGAATGTTTCCATAAACTTGGTAATCCTCATAACCAGCTCCTGGAATGTAAAATATATTAAAATGATGCTAAATATAAAAGTGTGTGTGTGTGTATATAATGATTTTTTAAAAATGTATCTGCACTCTGAAAAATTCTGTTTCTGTCCTTATGATCAAGGCAGAGGACAAGTCTATTTCTTGTTACTTAAGGTAACAAAGGAATTCAGACATATGGTCAAAAGCTTTTAATCAAACTGATGTTATGCATTGTATCAACATCTTAATGCTAAGGAGATCTTTAGGATGAAGAAAGTATTTCAGACAAATACCTTGTAGTTCCCTGCAACGTCAGTGCTTTTGGTTTTAGACTGTTAATGAAGGTCTGTTGTGTAGTCAAAGCCATAAATGGAATGAAATGAGGTTGCTATAAACAAAAGATTGATAAGTTGTTGAAAACTAATTTTGAGGAAAATGTCTGAAATGTTTTGCAGAGGTGAATCTGGTGCCGGGAAGACTGAAAACACTAAGAAGGTTATTCAATACCTTGCTCATGTTGCTTCCTCCCATAAAGGAAGAAAGGACCATAATATTCCTGTAAGTTGGGATATTTTCTCACTTGTTTTTTGCTCGTTTTGAAAACTACCATCTTTGCATTAAAAAACCCACAACTTTTTCTTAAAGATAAGCTGTAATGTAATACTCATAACTTTGTCTCAACCATTATTTTCTCTTTAGTGGCTGAAATGAGCAGTTATGTCAAAATTGCCAGTTAATGTTAGCTGTTTAATTGCTGTTGTGAAATTAAAGGCAAACACTGCAACTAGCAACAGTATCAAAGCTTTCTGATGCAGTAGACCCCAGTTTTCAAAAAAAAAAAAAAAATGTAGTTAACTTGGGCAATTCTTAGTGAATTTAGTTCTCACTAGATGCAGGTTTTGTGAACAAGCTTTCTGTTCTTTCAAAGATTAACTTGTAGGTGGGAAAAACCATGAAGCTTAAAACCTGCTGTAGGCTTGCTATATCCAGAAGTCAGCAGTTAATAAAAAGCTCAGATCTTACTATGTTACAAACAAGAGTATACGCTTTTATGTCGGAGATCTTGGTTTTTTTGGTAACTTGTCACTCACTCTGATTTATGTAGAACTTTCTTCAGATTTACTGCCAGACTTAAGAATTTGCGCTGAATTTTTAGCAATTCTTGGCTTTAAAAAATATGAATGTGTTTGAATATCTGCTGCTATGAGCACTTGGATAGTAAATTCAGCTTTGCTACAGGCAAGTGGCTTGCTGTAATCAATACTGGCACATGCCTGCTTTTCCCCGGTAGTACCACAAGTGTGTCTGGTGGTCGGAAGCTTTCAGACTGTATCATCTGACTTGGCAGCAACAATTTCTGTGATTTCTAATGCATGGCACTTAACATTAGGACATTCTTGAACATGTCAAGACTCAAATTCCATGAAAAATAGGAGATGAGTTTTGAACAATCTGTGAAGAAAAGAAAGGCAAGCATTTGAAGTGGGAGAGAAGGAAAGATTACTCTGCAGGTAGACTTGGAGAAATCTACTTAAGCATATGGGGAAACTCGAATCTTTGCTCTAATCAAGAGCAAATAATGTGGCCCTGTGCGCTGATGCTTACTCAAACTGTTGCTGGCTTATTGCGCAGAAAAGATCAAAATTAGTCTTAAGCATTTATTGTGCAGTCTGAGTGTGCTGCAGGTTGTGTCCACATCAGTTACAGGCCTTAAAGGGAAGTTTCTTATGGTTGGAGTGTCAGCAGCTTTAGGTGTGTGTCCATGGCATTGTCTGGTGTGTTGGAAGAATATGTGGCTCAGGGGAATGTTGTTTAGAACATGATCCGGCAGACTTGGTTTTCCGTGTAGGTTTTGATTTATCAGTATTCTTGGCTTTACCACTGTGCAGCTTTGAACAAAACCAGCAGTTTTTCTTTTTTCAGTTTCTACAGGAGTAAAATTGCCTACAGCTTTTTTTGGGGGAGAAGGGAATTATACAGGGTTTGTACCAAGTACTTCTAAATATACTATTGACAGCTTGGAATATCTCAGGTTGAAAGAGACTTGTGGAAAGCTCTTGTCCAGCCTTCTTTCAAAACGTGACTTCCTTCAAAGTTAGATTACATTGCCTAAGACCTTGTAAAGCTCAGCTTTGAAAATCTTGAGGAATGGAGCTTGTGCAAACTCTTTGCGAACCTATTCCAGTGCTTAATCACATGAAGACCTATTTTTGATTGTTTAAAAAGTGCTCCATGTTTGTTTGGCCTTTCTCATGGTGTGTTTCCACGAGCACTTCACACAGTACCTCTGCTAAAAGTAGTACCACTTTTTCAGCTTTGTCGTCGTGACAATTCCTGTGGCTTGGAGGCTGATGCAGGCTCAAACTAGTTGTCTTAAAGTGCATCTGGCTTTAAACGAAACAAATCCTATGTTGTTTGTGTGGCTGCATGACTAGTATGAAGTGAAGGCACAGAAAAGAAAGGAGAAAGCTGGGGTGAAAAACATCAGTGAAAGGAAGGATGAGTTGCCCTTTTTGATGCGGTGTTGGCTAATTCCATTTAAATCACTGGTCAGGCTGCAACTTAATTCTCTACTTAGCAGTGTGATCAAATGGGATGGTGATGTTAATCTCAAATGAGTTTTGAAGATGGCTGTTGTAATCAGCTGCTTCATGAACCATCAGGGACTGTCATGATGAAGACTGGAGAAAGTATTTATTCTTGGTAACACATAGTTTAGGCATGGTAAAAAGTATAGGGTAGTGTCCTGAATAAAAGTTTGATACTTTGATTGTGCACTTCATTCAGTGCAGTACCATAGTAAGCACTGGATTAAGCACTGTTTATGAAAAATGCAGAATGTTGGTGTAACCGAAACAGTTTTGAAATTACAAATGAGTGTCCCTTGTTCTGTAGCAATTAATTTTTATTTATATATTGCAGACAAAGAATGTCTAACCTACTCACCTATCACTCAAAAGCTAGGAAGTGTCATAATTGGGTTTATATATGCAGCCCTAATTTGTTCCTGTTTACATATTCATTAGAAAACTGTAGAGGGCTGGTGGTGATCCATAGTGTACCCATCTGTACAACCTTTGTGTTATCCTGTGCACAGAGAAGATGCTAAATAAGGCTTGTTAAACAGACTGCGAGTCACGGGTTTATTTTTATCCATCCCATTACAAATAATTATCAGTGACATGCATATTACTGAGACTGTTCTGAATGCTGCAAGGATTTTTTTTTTTTATGAAGCAATTTGTATGCTAACAAATCTTCCCCATGCTGTTCTGAAGGCTAGGGTTAACTTTGTTTTGCCTGAAAGAGTGCTGCACGAATATTACAAAGAAGTGTAGCCCCCGGTTTGACACCTCAGGCCCTGGCCAGAGCAGCGCTGATGTTCTGCTATGCCATGGGTGCTCACCAAGTGTATTCTCCAGCGCTGATTAGGAAATGCTCTGCTTATGCGAGGAGCATCACGTAGGAGCTCTGCCCATCCCTTGGGCATCCTCATCACATCTGGCTTTCAGTTGCTTGTCCATGAGGCTTTTCTTTCCCAACAGCCCTCTTTCCTAACAGCTAGTGACTGCGCGCCCATGGATGAGTCCTGTGTAGCCCTTGGCACGTCATCTTCAGACAGGAGTCCCGTGGGAACTCGAGTCAATAGCACATTTTAACCACAGAGGGTGGAATTACAGTGCTCAGCAACCTTAATACTAGCATTTCCTAATTTTTGAGTGGTTTGAATCTGTAGCCATGCTGTCTCATTTCCTGTTTAATCCCAAGGAATGTTAAAGGTATTGTCTTGGGCATCGTGCTAGGAAGTGTGGGGAGGTGGTGGTGGTAAAAATGTACAAGAGAAGCTTTAGCAATTGTGGGACTTGGCAGAGCTAGGAGAGACTAAGGTAGTAGCTTTCTAGACCCAAGTGATGGAGGGGAGGGAGAAGTACTTGGCAGCAAGCTATAAACTTTAGGCTCATCTAAAGACCAGAGGGGGGATGAAAGTGAGCCTGAATCCTCATCTGTAGCATTCTTGGTTGAGAGTCAGAATTGACGCATGTACAGTTCTAGTCAGGGCATAGCAAGGGGAGAGAAGATCGAAGCTATCTGTTGCAAATAACTGAAAGCTTTAGCTTCACATCCAACAGATTTGAGCTCTAAAGAATTTGATGGGGGGTGGGCTGGTAGTATTAAAAACTTTGCCAGTAAACCTGAGTTTTTTTGCCTGCACCAAGCATATTGTGGTTTTTTTCAGTTGTTAACTGTGCTGCTCATGGGCCAGCTTTATAAAAAGGCAACCACTGTGCTTTAGCTCGGGCATCTCAGACCAAAGGTGACCCACGCTGGTGCCTGGTGGTCTGGTCAGCTATCCCATGCTCCCAGGCCACACATGGAAACCTCTCTCACCTTTGCTCTCAACTATTCTTCTGTAGACTGAGGAGGTGGAGAAAAGGATCTTTAGAATAAAAGGAGAGGAAGAGAACAAGGACAGGTAACTGAGTGTGGGGAGGAGGCCGATGTGTCTAGAGTGGGTTTTGGACAGATTAAGCAAGGAGGGTAGGGGGGAAAATGAGACCTAAACTGCTTAGCTTTGGTTCCTCACTCCTGTATGGGCTAAGTGAGATGGGAAAGAGAAAAGAATGGAATTGTGTTGTTAATGCATGTGTTAGGGCTGCTTTAATATGGTTGAGTAGTGAGTTTTAATTCTGACTCTTGGGTTCTGCTTTAGTTTACAAACTTTGTTGTTTTGGATGGGGAGAGAAGTCAGTGCAAAATACAGAAATAATTAAAAAAAATGCATATATGGCTTTCCAAAAGAAGGCAAAGTGCTGCTTGTCACTCACTGCCCAGGGACTGCCATGAACTTGCATGTTCTGCAGGCTGCATGAGGTTGGGGAATGCTCTCAGCTGTACTTGGAGACTGTAGACACACCTGGACCCTATTCATGGTCGAATATACAAAATCAGCAGATGTTTTCAGTCATGGTAGCATGTGAAGTAGTTAAGTTCTATAAATAACTGTATCCATCCACTGCTGCCTCCACTTCCAATCATCCTGGTATTACATACCTCTGGCTCAGATGAACAGAATTAGACTTCTGTTCGTCTCCCCAAAGCCTTCCCCTCCCAAACCCCCACTATTTTCACTAAAATCCAGCTTTTGTGGTGGTGCCATTTTAAGCTTCAGAAATAATTACTAATACTTCCATGTTAATGATTGCTTTCAGTGACTGCGTTTTGCCTTTGTAGCTGAAATGCTAAATTGCTTAATTTGTCTTATTAATTTCCAAAGAAACTTAATTGGTTTTGGAGTACAGGATCTCGGGTAGACTTGCTCAGGCTGAAGCTCCCCTTAGTGAGGACTTCCCAGATGAGCTTTAACTGCCCTAATTTAAACACAGAGAAGTTAAATAGGTGCCTGATTATGCTCAGTTCTGTTTCTAGCGAGGACAGAAATGAACACCCCGAGAGAGCAGCTCATCTTGTCCGAAGATAAGCAAACGAAATGCCTCCTAGGTGTACCTGTCCCCCTCCAGTGACTACAGAAGGACTGGTAGTTTCATGCTGAAACACCTAACCCTTTTTCTAGTTGCCTGAGTTGTTTTCTGAGCAAGTATGATGCAGCTTTGCAAAACTCGCCTCACTTAGCTCTATAAGCCAAACCTTTGCCAGCTGCTTTGCAGACCTTTGTCAAAAATCTGTTGTTCTACACTAAAACAGTGCTGGTTTCACCATAGTATTTTCCCCCTAGGCACTCTGATGTTAAGCGCAAGATTATTAAACTTGCAGACTGAACCAGGGAAGTAATAATGGAACCAACAATTTCTGCATTTCTGTAGAAACTGTGCAAGTTTGAATTTAGAGGGGTTTGGGTTTTTTTTTTACTTTATTACATTCATGTTTCTTTTACCCTTTTTCCTGGCAAAATTTGAAGGTCTTCCAGTTTCTTAAGATTTTGCTGCTTCTCATGTAGACGGTTGTTCTTGAAAGAAAGAAGCACAGCTTTTGTCTTGATTGTAGGTTTGCATTTCTTAAATCCTTGAAATACAGTGCAAAAACAAAAGCCCAGGCTCCTTAAGTATTGCTTTCCTCTTGGTTCTTTCATAACCTTTTTGATTTCTGGAGAATAACGATCAACTTATCCATACAAAACCACCTTGCAGTGACTAGGGCTGTAGAGAAAGTTACTTGGCGGTGTGGGTTTATTTCTTGCTGTTGTTTGGCAAAACTGTGGAAAGCAGTGCACAACTAATTCAACTGTCACCCTTTTTCCTTGCTGCTCAAGGTCCATCCATCAGGTTGTGTTTTATTTGGAATTAGTCCTTTGCATAAACACGTGTGGTGTATTTTGCGCATGCAATGACAAGCAAATAACGTCTTTTCTAAAATTAATTTAAATAGTTTCTATGGAGTGAGTATATAGTTAAACTAAACCTGCTGACATTAATAATTTGGGATGTAACTTGCAGCTGGAGTGCTTGCTTGCTAACATATGCATTTGTTTGTTTGCAATGAACAGCCCGAATCACCTAAACCCGTGAAACATCAGGCAAGTGTTTTTCTTTATGCTTTTAAAGTTATGTAGGCAAACTGATATATATTATTCTATTTTCTGTCAATTTGTATTTCTAACACGTGGGTAATTTTGTAGAGGTATACAGCTAATAGTGAACTTTATACATAATTTAGCTGGCATTGAGAGAGGGGCCTAGCGAACAGCTTACAAGTTCCTCAGCATTGCAGAGCACTTTTTGCCACTTAGTGGTGTTACTCTGTCCTGAAGCAAAGGGTCACCCTCCCTAGCTGACCTTCTCCAGTGTGCTGGCAGTGTGCTTGGTTAATGTGCTGCTGAGAGGGCACAGAACACTGTATTACAATTAAAGTACTAATACAAGATAGATTAATGGAAGCTTCAGACTTCTTTTGATTAATGTACTGTTTTGTCTGAATATTTTCATAGCTACTCAGGTAACCTGATAAAGACTTTGATCTCAAGTGTAAAAGGCTTGGCATAACCAACTGTGTTCCAAAATCAGGTGTTCCCCCTGACTTCCTAGGATAAATGGTGTGAGTGACGTGGTATCTGTCCAGTGTTGCTGCCTGAATTCATGTTTGAGCTTCAGCTGCCCTTGTTCCTCAGGTTGGCTGGAGCCGCCATGCAGATAATGCTGTCCGTGTCCTGCTCCCCTGTCCCTCTCCTCCTGTGGGCAGCAGTAGTCCCGTCTGTTCTAGACCAGCTCCTTGCACAAGAGTAGGAATTGCCGTGCTCCCAGTGCTATGGAGCATAAAGATGAAGGTTGGGTGGAAGTTGAGGGTAAGACTGTGGAAAGAGAGAAAACAATTACTGCCATGTGTTATGCAAGATAAATGCTCCACTCCCTAACCTGAGATGGTAAGTGATGCCTTTTTGTCATGGGCATGAGCCATAAAGAAACAGCTTTGCAACAGCTCCCAAGGGTATAACCAAGGTTTGGTAACTGAAGAAGCTACCATGAGTTAGTTCAGCTGATTGTATTCGTCCCCTTACATTTTCCTCAAAGCTGACTGTAGTGCAAACTTGACTGTACTGGAAAGGAAAATAATAAAAGAAACTTCAAGTTAGGTCTGGTATATTGGAAGCAAAAAGAAGTCACATGGACAGCTGTGATGCCTTTGCTAGTGTGTGGTAATTTGTTAAACCTCTGTAACCCAATCATGCGTCTGAGCCCATGGTCTCATTTTCAGAAGTTACAGACATTCTTAGTATTTAACCTAATCCTCCCTCCTTGCAAACCTTGGTCAAATCTAAGGGTTTTACCAAAATATTTCTCTGTTCCAAAAATAGATGGAGCAGTGTTTAGTTTAACCCTCCTTTTGCTTAGAGTTAGCATGTCAGGGTTGAAATAAACTGTTTGTTGGCAAACATTTCAAATGTATCAGTGGAAATGTGCTAATCCAGAAGTGTTGATATTGCATAAACCATAATCATTAACATTTCTGTTTCAATGTCATTTTGAACTACAGAGGGGATCCCTGTTGTATGTGAGTAGCATGTAGTTTTCCCTGCCTCACCCAGGCTTCACCATGACCTGAATCACTGGGATGCTGGTTTTTCTGAAACTGAGACGATAACCTGTCCTTACTTAAATGTTGCCTTGCATGAAATATTGCATGACTTCACCTTTTCCACCATAGAGTGATACTGCTTTTTCCAAGTTCTGTTTAGATCCTGGAGATATGCCATAGGCCAAATTTACACTCTTTCCAAAAAACACTGAACGCTTCTAGAAGATAATTGGGTTTTGGCTGTAAAACAGTCAATCTAAAAATGAAAACTAATAAATAGGAAGCTGTTTAACATAGTGTGAGAGGTTTGCTGTTTCTTAGCAATGGCTACAATGAGTCTGCTTGCGAGTGCGAACCACAGAGGCTGGCTGGGCTGCGACCGCTCTGTTCATTCTCACGGTTTTCACCCACATCTGAGGACCCATCTGAATGCTTTCTTTAAATCCTCAGAGATGATCATAAAAGTGAGCTACAAAGAACTTCTTGCATTCAGTTGGTGAATTTGAGTAAAATTATTTTATGATGCATTGCAGAAGTTCTCTGCACAAAACCAAATTAAGGTTGTGGTACACAGAAGCACTTTAAAGCATGGATGAAGCGTGCCAGCAGCGAGATGCGTTCCGGTGGCACAGCGATGTTCTGTGGAGGAGTCAAATGTTGAAGTTGGTGTGCTTTCTTTTCCAGAATAGCTAGAATTTGAAATGTAAGCTGTGACATGCTTGCTGCATTTAATATACGTAATGTAGTTTATTTCAAGCTGCGTACAGCATGGTAAGCCAGCTTCTTGTTTTTATACTTGGTGTCTTAGCAAGAGCTGACAGCAGTGTGGTTGGGAGAGGGGAATGGGAAGAATGGTGTAGGCAAACACTTTCCCACTACCTGATGCATTTATATAGGAAACTTTTAGAATATAAATTGCACATATAGTGGTTATAACAGGATCTAGTTTTTCTCCAATTGTGGATTTTTTTGTCAATTTAAAAGTGCTGCTGAGAACTGTAAAGTTGGCAGACCTAACATATAGTGTGTGGGCACTGTGGCCTGCATAGTATTTAGTGTGCTCTGGGCTAAGACTCACACATTTATTTCTTCTTTAGTTACTTCGAAATTCAGAGACTATGTAGTCCCAAAGGGAATAGATTTGGAAGTAAACAAGTTTTGAGCAGATATCTTGGTCACATTAAAGGATGAGCAGCCATTAGTTTCCAGGAGGACTTGAAATATATTTCAATATAGAAATAAAAGCTTCTTTTGGGTGTTAATTAGTGAATTTTAAAAATTCTGTGTAAGAATTGACCTCATGTGGAAGTCGTGAGACTTACATTTTCCCATTCTTTGATGCTCAGTCTGGGGCCTTTATTCATCTATGCTATAAATAATTGGAAAAAGCAGGTTTATGAACACAAACATCAGGTTTTGAGACTACATTCCAGACAGCTTCACTTTTTTTTTTTAAACCATCCTTCAGAGCAGGGAGACACTGTCATAGTTCCCTGTGTACATACGTGCCTCCTGGGCTCATGGAAGCAGCACAGACTTTTTTGTTACCAGACCTCCCCATGGACAGCAATTGTAAAAGCTGTTGTGCAATTTCCTTAAGATAAGTACTTTGATTTCTACATCCATTGGCTTGAACTTAAAGATTTTTTTTTTTAAAAAAAAAAAAAAAGCATTAAACATACTGAGCAATGCTGGCTGAATTGAGCAATTTGAAAATGATCTTTGTATTTAGTGTTGCTCAGTTCCATTCTGGCATGCTCCTCAGGTGCATTCAGGTCAGAGGCGTTGCAATGATATGAGTGTCTAGCAGATTGAAAGTCAGTATTTCACTAATTTGAAAGTAAGTTTGAAAATAGGTATTCCAAAGTAGCTATACTGTCAAATTGCTAAACAGGGAGTTTACGAATAACCTTGCACTAAAATCTTAAGGTTAAATTAGTGTTTCTCTTAGCGTTCAAAGTCTGTGCCTAATTTCATTAGCCCAAAATGTGAATTTTCTTTTCCATGTTCAATGATTTTCAACATCCATTAAGTCCTATTCCGTCACTGCTCTGTGTGTGTGTGTTTAAAAATAAAACAACCCCTTCCCTGAAAACCACCCCCAAAACAAAACCAAAAAAAACCCCAAACAAAACACATTTTTCACTTGATGGAGGAGACTATCAGTGGATTTAGAAGTGAGGGGGAAAATAACCCCCTTCTGAAGGTGCTATCACTGCCACAACCTGAGTAAAATGGCTGCCAGGAAGAAGCAGAGCATAGGAGCCCTTAATCGCCTGTGCACTGTGCTTATGTCTGTTTATTTTTCTGTTTGTGTGGTTTTTAGGGGGAGCTGGAGCGTCAGCTTCTTCAGGCGAATCCCATTCTGGAATCCTTTGGGAATGCAAAGACAGTGAAGAATGACAACTCTTCCCGCTTTGTGAGTTACTCCTTTTCTCTTTACAGTCTGTGAATTTGGATTGCTGTTTATGGAGAAATTCCCTTTTTAGGTATTTATCTACTTAGTATCAGCAGCTTTCTTTGTTCTTTCCTCCACAAGTTCAGGTTCTCTTACAACGCATTCTGTGTTGTGTTGGGGTCACTGAAATGCATCCTTACTGGCTCTTGGCTTTAATTTTATCCAGTTCCTAACTTCAGCCATCCTTGAGTTGACAGTAATGTTCATAGTATAACAAATCTAACTATGCTGTAGAGCTAAACTGTGGCTTGCATGCCCAAATTACTGCTGAACTACTATAAAGTATGAAGGAATAGGGCATCAACAGGGAGTCTGGCTAAGTATGTAGCCTTCTTGTCAATAGCTATGACTTTATCAATTGATTGGTTTAGAGAGAACATCCTTAATTTTTTTTAAAAAAGTAGAAAACTTGCATATAACAACCTCTCTAAATCTCCATGCCCTCCTGTCTGATTTACAGAAGGAAAGCCAATAGGACAGTATGACTTGTTCAAGGTGTTGGGTGCTCTTGTGGCTGGCTGATGTTTTTGTTGGGTCAGTGCCTTCTGCTCACATACTGTTTCAGTGGCAGATAACCACTTTTGATGTGTTCCATTATTTTAAAAATAGAGGTGGAACTCAGGGTAAGTAGCTATTTACCACTTCTTAAAAATTCCTTCTACTTTGAAGGAAAAAAATAGCCATCTCCTGTTTCAGGGGAAAGATGTTTTTAGTACAACTTTAAAACTGTATAGGAGGTATTAAATCTGTTTTCTTGTGAGAACAAAACTAAAATTTACAGAACAAATGAAAGATTTCTTGGCTGCCTTGATGTTTCAACAGTTGCTTGGATTTATAATGTATGAACTCAGTTCTGATGATAAGGACTCTGGAAAACTTGTCTGACTAAATCCCTTTGATAGCCTTTTCAATCAAGAAGGGAGAGCAGAGTACTGCAGAAATTCCACTTTGATAATTTTATAGCGACATTATTTACATTACTGCCTGATGCTTATATATGTTGGGTATAGGATTTATAATATCAACAGGTTTCACTGCACAATAACTCTACTTTGCTACATGTCTTGAATCCATTGAAAATTGTACTAATTTAATGAGGATACTTTTTTCCTAAAAGATGTTAGCATCTGTTTTGTATTATATTGAAGTCCGCATTGCCATCGTGAACATAATCACTCAGATGGCTCCAGCTCTGTTTTTATAAAGGAGCAAGTATAATGCACTCCAGATGGTGTCATCTCATGCAGAAAAAAATAATCTTTAGTAACAACCATTTTAAAATCTGACTTAAAAAATATGTATCCTCCCACAAAATGAGAAGTGCTGTTGTTCAGCCTGTACAGGCTTGACAGTCTTCACCATGCTGCAGGAGGATGCCAGCCTGTTCCCTAGTCGTTGATAATACCAAATAGGACTGAGATAAGGCTAGTGTCGAATGCATTTCTTTTTTTCTTCTACCAAAGGCAGTGTTCTCTTGTGTTTCAGAAAATGAAGTCTCTAGTTTGCAGTGGATAGGAGAATGGACTTGCTGGGTTCATATTGCAGAACTAAATGCTTCCTTCTGATGTGGTTTTTACAAAGCTGTGTACTTAGTGCTCTAATGATAGTGTAAACAGCATTCAGTTGTTAGAGGCTGCAGTGGTGATGACATAACTGATAAATTAAAGATTTCATAGCAAGATTTGCTAGTGCTAGCCAGAAGGATGTATTAATATTTTGCTTTTAAGAAGATGAACTAGGTAAGTGACCTCTCTAGTATAGACTTCAGTGATGACAGAACTTGAACTTTGAAGCAGGGAGCATGTGGGTCCCCTCTTCTGATGTGTCAGCTCATTTAACGACTGAATTTCCTCTCAATTATTTTTGTTCATGGACAGCAGAAATTAAATAACTTTTAAGGGTGAAACAGAGTAAAGTGGTTCTGAATCATACCAGAAAGAGCCACTGACTAGACCTTATGTGATGCTTCATGCTTGTTTTTGCATGTAATGTGGCAAATTCAAGCCATGTCATTCTAAGAGGGCTCTGTGGTACCTGTTCTGGTTAAAAAGTTGTCAGCTGCTATTCTTCACATGCTACTGCTGACATGTGTGTTACATCTAGTCTATTGGCTGAATTTCATTAAAATGTCAGTTCATTCTTGTGACAGTTATAAATATAGCTTTCTGGAATTATTAGTGAGCAAAAAGTATAAATGCTTCAGTTACAAGCTGAGCTTAAAGTGTTCTGTTTCTTCATACTCAGAGTTCAAGTGCTGGCCCCTGACACGGCATGCTTGAAAACAAGCCTTGTTCCTTGTGGTCATCTTAGTGCCACTGGCTTCCCAGCCAAACTGCAGATTAAGCAGTAGAGAGTAACCATTGAAGCTAATTTAAAGTATTCCACTAATTTTCTTGAAAGTTGGAGAAATCACTTTGGGTTGAAGATGTACAACCACAGTCACAGAGCAGTTGCTTTGCTCAGACTAAGTCAAGATAAGGCTGGCCGGTGGGTTGTACCTTTCTCTGGATTCACTGGTGTGGTTGTGGGGAGAAACTTAGTCACTCTTGCACACGCAAGTCTTTCTGACATGAATGGGCTTTGCGGTAGAAGTTGCAATAGCCTAAATGATTGCAGCATCTTGTTCAGGCATAAGTCTGCAGCATGGCAAGATACCCCCCAATATACGCTTCCTAGGTTGGGCTATTGCTAGAATACAAATACACAAGCTTGTAGAGTAGAATATTTAATATGAAAATTAATAATACAGTCCCTGAGCTGAATGGATCTGCCAAACAGGAATTCACCTTAATGCACTAATAGCACTAATCAGTCAGACTTGAGGTAAGTGAGGATTTGGATACTGATTGTAAGAGTGCTTTTGGAAGGCTTCCTCAAAAGGTGGCTTTGTGCAGATACCATGAGAAGAAGCATTTGGACAGTCGTTAGCAAACTGCTGTGATCTTCCCTGATCTCTAAAACCTGTTCATTTGTGGATAGAAGACTGTAGAAATTGGATATGATGAAAATGGAGAGCCCAGGGTAGTCATGGGGCATTCCCACTGTTTTCTTCACATGTTTGCAACCAGGGGAATACTTAACAGTTTAATGAGCACAAATCTGAAATACAGGAATGGTGCTGTTAAGTGGTCCAACTGCAAGGTGAAGCCTGTTGGGAATCTTTGTAGTCAAGTGAAAAAATCAGATGAGAGAGCTGATGTGGCTTAAAACTGGTATAATACATCCACTTGCAACCGCTTTCTTTGCAAGAGCTGCTCTATTTATGGGAAGTGTGCTCTTTATTTGGTCCTTAGTGGAGAAAAGGAGATGTATGTGGAAGACATGGGTATATTGTGTCTCACTACTGTGGTTTTAACTCCAGCTGGCAACTAAGCCCCACACAGCTGCTTGCTCGCTCACTCCCTTCTTCCCCCAGCTCTATATGCTGAGCATGACACCATGCTCTGTGGGATACCCCTGGGGTCAGTTGGGGTCAGCTGTCCCAGACGTGTCCCCTCCCAGCTTCTTGTGCCCCCTCCCAGTCTGCTCGCTGGTGGGGTGAGAGGCAGAAGAGGCCTTGGCTCTGTGTAAGCCCTGCTCAGCAGTAAAAGATGTCTTCATCAGTGTGTTATGAACATTATTCTCATCCTAAATCCATAACATTATTGCAATAAAACAGCTACTAGAAAGAAAATTAACTACCACAGCTGGACAGCATCCACTCCTTATTCTATGCCATCTATGTCATGATCAGGTCTCACCTATCCAATACTTCCTCATTAACCACCTGCCTTTCCATCCTTTGATATAATACACAGATATCATTCTGTTAGGCTATGGACCACCCTTGTAAAATGTCAATTGAGTTAATTTAGTCCATGACTTTGGGCTCTATCTCTCCTGGTGGTCACTCAGGACAGGGAGAGATTGTGTGTTCCATGGTGTTACTGGGCACTAAAGCCAGGTCAGGTCACTGTTGCACTCGCACTGCTTCTTGGAAGGCTTCTCCTCCGTTGGTTCAGGTGGTTCCTGCTATAGTAGTCCCTGTAACAGGCACCTCAAACCATGGGTTACAGTGCCTTTGGACCAGACCATCAGGTTTAACATTGCAGTGAACTCTTCCTCTTGCCCCTGCTCTGACTTGTCCACAGACTGCAGTCCCAGAGGGCTGTACCTGCTCCAAAATGAGCCTTATCTATGAGCCACAATCTCTCCAGGGGTGTACCTGCTGCGGCATGGACTTACTTATGGCCACATGCTTTGAGGTGTTCCAGTATGGCCTCATGCACAGCCACTGATTCTTCAAGGTGTACCTTCTCCAGTGTGGACTTATCCTTGGGCCACAATCCCTTCAGAGGTACCCCTGCTGCAGCACAGACATAACCACAGCCACAGATGCTTAGAGATGTACCTGTTCTGGTGGGAACTTACCCATGGCCACAGATGCTTTGGGTTGTCCTGCTCCCACATGGACTCACCTACAGGTCACAGTCCCTTTGCTTCAAGTTCACACTGGAGTTCCAGCCTGCCCAGTACAGCAGCACAGGAACCAGCAGTGATGCCCTGGCCATTGGCCAGCCCAGGCCTGTGGCCATGGCTGTTATCAAAATGTTTCCAGGCACAGCAGAGTGAGATGACTGCACTGGAGCAGCACAGCAAGCAGTGAGAGCAAAAAGCAGCCACTAACAAGCACTGGACTCTAATATATGGCAAGGCAAGCAAGCCCCATGGCAAGCACAGGAGCCTGCCTGATTAATAGTGAAACAGCAATAACAGCTATAAATTCAGTCCAGAGCATTCCAATCAAATCTGTTGTTATCTCGACCCCTTTGAGCCCTGTGTTGGGTGCCAAAAAGGACTGTTGTGGTTTAACCCCAGCTGGTAACTGAGCCTCCTGCAACTGCTTGCTCACTCACCCCGGTGGGATGGGGGAGAGAATCGGAAGGGTAAAAGCAGGAAAAGTTGTGGATTGAGATAAAGACAGTTTAATCTTTTTACTAGGGCCAGCTGTGACAGGACAAGGGGTTAATGGTTTTAAACTAAAACGGGGTAGGTTTAGACTGGATATAAGGAAGAAATTCTTTCCAATGAGGGTGGTAAAACACTGGAACAGGTTGCCCAGAGAGGTGGTGGAGGCCCCATACCTGGAAATATTCAAGGCCAGGTTGGAAGGGGCTCTGAGCAACCTAATCTAGTCAGCGGTGTCCCTGCTCCCTGCAGGGGGGTTGGACTAGATGACCTCTAGGGGTCCCTTCCAACCCAAAACATTTTATGATTCTGTGATTAATAGGGAAAGCAAAAGCTGTACACGCAAACCAAGCAAACTAAGGAATCCATTCCCTGCTTCCCACCAGCAGGCGGGTGCTTGGCCATCCCCAGGACAGCTGGGCTCCATCAGGTGTAATGGTGGCTTGGGAAGACAAAATACTGTAACTCCCAATATCACCCCCCTTCCTTCTTCCCCCAGCTCTATATGCTGAGCATGATGCCATATGGTGTGGGATACCCTTGGGGTCAGCTGTCCTGGCCATGTCCCTTCCCAAATTCTTGTACCACCTTCAGCCCCTCACTGGTGTGGTGGGGTGAGAGGCAGAAATGGCCTTGGGTCTGTGCAAGCCCTGATCAGCAAAAAAACGCATCAGCCTGTTATGAATGTTATTCTCATCCTAAATCCAAAATATGGCACTAAACCAGCTACTAGAGAGAAAATTATCCCAGTTGAAACCAGGATACTTAGTCCTTTCTTTACAAACCACTAGAAAAGAGAGGGGCCATGTAGACAAGAGCAAATCCAGACTTTGGAAATGGAAGTGTGATGGGCTGGGCAGCACACTGAGGTTCAGGGTTGCTGCAGATAAAACACCTTTAGGCACCAGTAAGTTTGCTACAGAAGTGTTTACACTGAAAATTTCAGTGTTGCTTTCAACCTTAGATGGTGTGTTTTGTCAATGTGAGAAATTGAGCTTCACTTTCAGAAGTGTTTTTCATAAGTCTGGGTTACAAACCTATCTAGAATCCTCATTCTTTAATCTTTAGAAAGTGTTTGTGTGCAGAGTAACATACTCCATTGGAATGATGGCTGAGCACATTGGAGGGAAAAGATTTCATTTGAAGTTGTGGGAAATGCTTGTTCTATGCCTGCAAGTAGGATTATGTTTTTATATAGACAGCACTGTTGTGTTAATTAAAAAAAAAAAAAAAAATCGTAATTACAAAAAAATCTCATTTTCTTTGCAGGGCAAGTTCATTAGGATTAACTTTGATGTTACTGGTTATATTGTTGGGGCCAACATTGAGACATGTATCCTTCATGCCATGTCATTGTAAAATGCAAGTTTCCTGCTTGTTTTGCTTTTAACCCTAGAATACATTGGAATGCTGTGAAAGGCTACCACACTTCTACATTCCTTTGACAGCAACCATCTCTTCCTTTGTTTTAAAATAGCCACTCAAATATCACAAAGTCAGCATGTATACGCATGCTTAGAAATTGGATACTCCAAAAATGTAGCACTCTGAAATCTGCTGGATTTTCAGACTAGCCTTAACACCAGGGTGTATTAAATAGAGAAACCATTTCAATTGTGCTTGCTCTATTGACATTTCTAGGAAAAAAAGGCTTTCCTGATCAGAAGCTGAGCTGCTGTATTGTGCCGAAAGCTCGGCTTTGCTCTCATCAGTGCTGCAGAAGCAGCTCTCTGCCTGGAAGGAGATGATGCTCATCATAAAATGAGAGTTGGAAGTGCCGGGACACCACCTGTTTTCTTAGGTCTTCTAGTGTATGTTCAATAACATGAGACCTCTAGCAATTAATACTGAAGCTTACTCCAGTTTTAGCTTTAAGTTTCTTTTTTATTTATGATTGTGTAAGAACAAGTAAAAGTACTTGCACTGAAAGCCCTTCTCTAAAGTTGATTTCTTCATACTAAAAATAATGTTTTAATTTTTTTAGTTTGTTTAGCCTGTTTTCTGGGGGAATAGCAAATAGGGTGGTCCTCAAATTATGAAATCGGAAGTCTTAGTAAAACAATATCATGTGAGTATTAATCATAAACAGTGTTGCAGTTAAGCTTTCCTTCTGGTGCTGTGAGTTAAACTGCTTCATTTTAAGTGCATTGAATGTTTGGAACTGTCACAAAATAGAATTTCCCAGTAAGGCTGGGAGAGATCTATTCTTATTCAAAATATGCTCTAGTGCTAATTTTTTTTTTCATTCAGCACAGGAATGAAGGCAGTTTTTGCTTTTATGAAAGTTCAGGTGAATTGTTTTGCCTAGAGCTCTGTGAAAACAGGAGGACTTAAGTCATAGGGAATTTTTCCTTCATCACAAGAACTCATCCTTGCTCATAACCTGTGTTGTTTCAAATCCCTGTCCCATGTTTGCTTTACAATATGGAATATCAAGAAATAAAGGCTCGCATAACATTACAGCTTATGGCAGCTTACTAGGTGCTGTCTGCTGCACAAACTGAATATTGGAGCTGTTTAAAGGCAGTGCAGCCTGTATGTAAAAATGCAGTGCTCGAAAGAAATGACACATGCGCTTCAGATGAAGTACTTCTGAGTCCAGCAGCTGCTGGGTTTTTGGTATTAAGAGTTCAGGTATGACTTTAATAGAAGAAGTGATTGAGAAAGACTGGCCAGCTCCCCCTCTCACTTGGACTTCATCTAGACCGCTGCAGACAATTGTAGCAGGGAAGTGCAGTCAACATCCAAGAAATGAGTTCGCTGAAACTAAATGTGGGCTTCTACCAGTTGGAATTTGAAATATCTTATTTAAAGCTACTGAAAATTCATATTGGAGATAGTCCTCACACTACCCTTAGAGCTCTGCTTGGTCGTAAAATAATTCTATAGCCTGCTTTGAAAGTTTTGTTTGCATTGGACATTTTTAACCAAAAATTGTATAAGATCCTTGACTTCTTATCATCAGACTTGTTGGAAAAGTCTCGTGCTGTTCGTCAGGCTAAAGATGAGCGGACATTTCATATCTTCTATCAACTACTAGCTGGAGCAGGAGAACACCTGAAGTGTAAGTTGAGAATCTAATTTTATAAGCCTGTTGCTTCTGCGTGCCGCATCTGTTATTTCAGAGTTAACACAGTCGCGTTTGAACTATTCTTTGGTCTTGAAACAGTGAGTTTTAAAGGAAGAACGAAAAGCCAGGTGGCTTTGTTTTGAAATAACTTCTGAGTCTTATCGAGTATGCTGTCAAGCAACTGTTGCATTTCAAGCAAATGGCTCCCACATGACAAAGTCCAGCTTGGGCAGCCTCTGGCTGGGAATCGCCAGATTGAAACTGCCGTGCTCCCAGCTGATAAATAACAAACCTGGTTGGCACTGACAGCCATATCTATTCTGGACTATGCCTTCAAACTGGGCAGAAAAGCAGCCCTTTTGCCCTTTTACCAAAACGTAATGAAGCCCTGTGGTTTTCTTCAGCCATTGCAGTACTATGTTGGTTATCTTCTTCTTCCCTCCCCCCGCCCTTGGTAACCTAGACTTTCTGTTAGGTTGTGCTAAGTGAAACCATATGAAGGTACAGACTTCAGAGAATTGATCCACTCTTTCTCCTCCTGTCTCAGACAAACCAGTGTTTAGCATCCTCAATATGGTAATCATCAATACCTAACTCCATTTCTGCCTGTGCCTGTTACCTTTCAACAGAGATACTTCTTTTAGGATACTGCAAATAAGGATTTGAGATTATGCTAGATCTGAGTTGGGTAATGTTCTGTTTACAGGCTTAATGCATTAAAGAGCTAATGTAGGTTGCTACAGATAGAGATTCTGGGAATCTGGCTTCAGCTTCTGAGGCACACTCGTATTTTTAGAGTTTCAGAAGCTGGTATGATGGCACGTAGCCATATTTGAGGAACTGATTTTGTAAAGTGTAATATGCATGTTTAGTGAGAACAGAGTACAGGTGGGTGTGAACAGCATTTCTTTTGCTTATTTTTCTGTCTCTTCCCCTTCCCCCCGATACAGCTGACTTGCTGCTTGAAGGATTTAACAATTACAGATTTTTATCTAATGGCTACATCCCCATTCCTGGGCAACAAGACAAGGATAACTTTCAGGAGACTATGGAAGCCATGCATATCATGGGATTTTCGCATGATGAGATCCTGTGTAAGTTATTGAGCCTTTTTGGTATTTAAAGTGTGCTTTTTTCCCCTTGCACACGCACACATACACACTTGCTCATTTAATGTCACCAAACTTAATGTTGCTTCAGTGTCTTGACAGCCTGCAGCAAATGCTTAATATGAGCTAGAGTTGAACTACAGCAATTTGCCCAAAAAATACAGTACAAATTTTATTTCCTTTCTGAACTCATACTTTGAATTTGGGAGGGGAGTGACACAAGTAACAGAACAAAAATTTAAGTGAGCCCTCTTCAATAAAACTGTTGCATCTGTCTCTTGATAACACAGCAATGCTGAAAGTGGTGTCTTCAGTGCTGCAATTTGGAAATATTTCCTTTAAGAAGGAGAGAAATACCGATCAAGCTTCTATGCCAGAGAATACTGGTAAGTTGATCACATTTGTATGGCTTTAACTTGTGCTGTAGCTTTCTTCCTGCTATTTGTTTAGTGTGTATCGTTAAAAGTACAGAGCAGTCTTCTGAGCTTCCTTGATAATGTTCTGTGCCAAAAAGAGGCCTTGACTGTTGTAGTAACCAGTGGGCAATTATTAAAACTCTCCTCTTCCCATTCTCATAGTGCAGACAAACTTAAGTATCCATCAACAGAATTTATGCTGTTTGCATTACTTCTAAACTTTGAACAATTATTTCAGTTGTAGTCTTTTTTTCTTGCTATCTATGAAGACTTAAGTACTAGGAAAAAGTGCATGCTTAAATCTGTTTGTTTTTTTTGGTTCTTGAGAGCAGTTTTCTTGCCAACGGTAAGAGCCCTGGAGCCAAGCACAACTTCCATAGTGAAATGGCTGAAGATAAGAATGCTGCATTTAGAAAAATCTTGATTTCTGAAGTGGCATAGCAGTGTGACTAAGATTTAATTTATCAGTTAGTATCCACAATGTGATCAGCATTTTGAGGAGTACACTTCTTCACAAAAAAGATAGCTGCTGAAGCAAATCTTAGGCTTTTAATTTAATACTTCGGTGCCAGCCTTTTAAGTGCTCTCATGGAAAGCCAGCTTTGAGAATTGACACCAGTGGCAGGAGCAGTAAGAACCATCACTCATGGGACCTGCTACACATGCGCAGCTCATTCTTGTCTGTGTCTTGTTTCATAATTGTCCTAAATTGCTGTGCATGTAGGTTGCTTGTAATGTGCAACATTTTTGTCATTTCTCAAGGTGGTGGCCTGCTGCCCCAAGTGCCCCAGCAAGGAGGTGTGGATTCAAGTCTTTGGCTTGATCTTTGGCTGGCAGTTGGCAGTCTGAGTTTTGTAGGGAGGAAGAAAGGTTGGGTGAGGGATTACCGATCTGGGCTTTTAGTGCCAGCTTAGACAACTCGACTGAGTCATCGTCAACTTAGAAGGTGTGGTGTAGAAAGGCACAAATGCTTCTTGCTTCCTGACCATCTAGACTTTTGTTGTATGACTGTTGTTTTTGGACATGCATTCTGAATTATAAGATTGGGTATTAATATATTAATACTATTGGATATTTGTAATACCAGATACAAAATTCTGAATTACAAAGCAGAGTTGCTGAAAAGCTCAGTTCATAGTTAAAGCATGTTTCTGTTCTCTGGATTTGAAATTTACTTTATTTGATTATGTGGTATTTGTTACTGTATGTTTCTGAAAACACTGAGTGAAACTGATCTCTCCCTTCTTGTCACCTGTCACATCTCACTGTAATAGGTTTCCCTAGCATCCTCCAGAGAAATAAGTGTGTCTTGATAGTGATTCATCTCATTTAGGGACACATGTTTGAAATAGGTCAGCTTGGTGTCTCCATAGAAGGGAAGGAATTTGTGCGTGTAGTAGAGATGTGAACCTAATTTAAAGACTATGGAAATCAAATTCTACCCTATGGATAATAAATATAGGTAAACAAATCTCTGTTTCAAGTGTAGATACAAGAGATGGCAAGAAAGCCATACAGCCTTCATGGATGAAGAGGAGGGAGAAGCTGTATTTAGAGAACCATTTCCTGCTTACCAGATTTGGAAGAAGCCTGTCTGCTGAAAGGGCAGAGGTTCACAAGCAACCTCATAAAGTTCATGCTTCAGCTATGATAGGAGCTTTTGAGTATCTTTGGTTTATAATATTTCACAATTTTATATCCAAAACCCAATAGTAATAAAAAGCACATCAGGGTAGTCAGGTATTTCTACAATCGCGCCTTTTAAATGGACCTTCCTCAGTTACAAACAAAAAAGATGAATTATGCTTTTTTTAAAGTGCAATAATAATCAAGCTGAAATAGTGTGAACCAGTCCAACCCTTAGAAGTGGTAGAGCTTTGACTTGAAAATGGTTTGGTTTCGGTCAGTCAAACCTCTGAAATACTGGCTACAGCCTCCTTCAGTGTCCGAATCAGATGTTATTTTTAGTATTACCTCTGCTATGGTTTATTGTTATTATTGTTACCTAAGCTATGGTTTATTACAAACTGGAAAGGTAGATACAATACATTACGTGTCACAGGGTCGTGAAAGAGGAGCCCAGTGTAGTGTTTGGAGTACTGCATGGGGGGAAACCCCTCCTTCCTCAAACCTGTAATATCCTTTATATAGTATCTGCTATGCCACAGTACCAAGCTGGTGCTCATAGCTACTTAATATTTTCAAGTTTGTGCTGTTTCTTTTTTTTAAGATCCTGACAGCACTTGCTACTTGACACCTAAGGTTTAGGTTTTATCTGATGTGCTGATGTGTATTTTTATACTCGAAGCACAGAAATGCTCCTGTATGTAGCTCAAGTGAAAGGCGTGCTCAATTTGTGATGCTACACTAATTTCACTGGTTGTGTGTTGATTCACAAACCCTTCTAAAGAATATATGGCCAGACAGAGAATCTCAACATTAAGAGCAAGTAGTAGTGTTGTTAACACCAGCAATAAAAAAAAAAGGCAGAGGAAGCTCTTACATATTGGTATTAAAATCTGATTTTAAAAATGGCTTTTTTCATCTTGACAGTAAAACACTGAGCTGTCAGATTACAAAGCTGAGGGGTTACAGTGCTTACTTGGATGGTGTGGAGGGCTTCCTTCCTGGCAACACTTAGCCAGACCTAAAAATACATTTAGTGTCACTTCCATTTTTAGAAGTATGGAATCATAAACACCTAACCTACGGGAAAATTTATTGAGAAAAAGGGATTGATGCAGCAAGAATATGTAATGATGGTGTGGGTTTCAAATAACGAATGCGACACCAGGAGAGTTCGTGCTGGCTAAAGAAAGCGCGCTGCTGCTTGTGATGTTATTCTGTATAAAAAATTACATACCCATGTTTTAAATAGTTTAAAAAATGTATTTTAATATAGGCTGTAATAGAAGCAGTACACCTGCCTAAATTGAAACAGTTTTTAAGCAACCTTAGTATGATGGAGTTGAAGTGTGGTGTCCTCGTACTGTGCTTTTTTTTTCTGGAGATGAGAAAAACGAATGTTCTGAGCAGCCTGATCTAGTTAGCAGTGTCCCTGCTCCTGCAGGGGGGTTGGACTAGATGACCTCTAGGGGTCCCTTCCAACCCAAAACATTCTATGATTCTATGATTGATTCTATGATTCTATGATTCCCTTTTAAAGTAACAAAACGAACACTTGTACATGAGCTATGGGCTGTTACATGACTTCCCTGCAATTTCATGAAATCTGGTGTTTTCCGCACTCCCCTAAGAAAATTGCATGGTGTATGTCTGTAGGGACTTCCATCAGCCTTTGACGTGGAAGCCCTGTGGACACGGGCTGTGACACAGGGCAGGTCTGTCCCCAGGACAGAAGCACGTCTCCCTGACTGCTATTTCAAGTGGCAGTTCAATTTTTAAGCTGGCGTATGACAGCCTTTGTCGGTAGCTTGTTTCACCGATGTTGCTAGCTGCTGTGGAAGGGGGGAGGATTTAAATGCTTCCATTTATTGCTTTTGATCTCCAGTCGCACAGAAACTCTGCCATCTACTGGGAATGAATGTAATGGAGTTCACCCGGGCCATACTTACACCGCGCATCAAAGTTGGCAGAGACTACGTTCAGAAAGCCCAGACCAAAGAACAAGTAAGTTCTAAAGATGTAGTGACACTGTACCTCATCCTGATTAGCTCTTAATAAAGAAAATTGGAATTAAGTGTGTACTGCCACTGACTGTGTTTAAGCTTCCTGTCTTTATTAAATGTTGTTCTATGGTAAACATCAGTGGTAGAGTAGAATAAACCCTTCCCTTTCCTTGCCCCTCTGCTGGTTTCATCCTTTAATGTTATTGTTACATGTATCAAATGCAGAGAGAGCTTTTGGGTTTTTTATGGAACAGTTTAAAAACAATTTTTTCAGAATATTAATCGAACTGCATACTATTTCTACTGCTTGTTTTCATTCCTCACCTTCATTAAACTTCATTAAACTTCTTCTGTTACTTAGTTATTTGTGATAACATCCATGTCTGTTCTTTTGATGACTCCTCCAAGGTAAATAAATTTTCCTGTTTGGATTTTCAGGCAGACTTTGCAGTGGAAGCTTTGGCAAAGGCCACCTATGAACGGCTGTTCCGCTGGCTTGTTCACCGCATTAATAAAGCTTTGGACAGGACCAAACGACAGGGAGCGTCTTTTATTGGAATTCTGGATATTGCTGGATTTGAAATCTTTGAGGTACTTCAAAACACTGCTAATCAGACTTTTTTTTTTTCCTTTTCCCTGTTAATGCATGTTCAGGACTAAGTGTAGAGCCACTTAATGCATGCATGTTCCAAGGCTGCTGGAGGGTTTTGTTTGGTAGTGTGCAAATTCTTTGACAACCCTAAACTACAGTGCCAAAAAGTCATACTTTAGTCTAAATGGTTCTCTTATACATGATGGGTTTTCCTACTATTCATTGTTTAACTATATGTAACAGGGAACATAAGAGATTTGAATAATGCATTTTCCAGTTTTCTTACAACACGTTTGAATGTTTGAATTTTTGTAGTTGAACTCCTTTGAGCAACTCTGCATTAACTACACCAATGAGAAGCTACAACAGTTATTTAACCACACAATGTTTATCCTGGAGCAAGAGGAGTACCAACGAGAGGGTATAGAGTGGAATTTTATTGACTTCGGACTGGATCTGCAGCCTTGCATTGACTTAATTGAAAGACCTGTAAGTCTGCACATTAATAATGCTCTAAGGAGAAGAGGTTCCATTTATGGGTTTGTCTTTTACTGCCTGCAAATTGTAGGACTATACAGAGATTTCTTGTGGAGCTGTCACAAAAAGTGAATTAACTTGAAGGCTGAAATCCAAAGTCTAAAATACCATGTACCATGTAAAATACCAGTAAAAGGTTTTATCTTTATGGGATTTTGCCCTGATGTTAGGGTAGAACACTGAGCTAAAGATACTAAGCTACTACTTTATACTTTTTTCCCTAGTACTAATGAAGTGTTCAGTCCTGTTACTTCCATATTAAACAACGCCATTGTGTTATAGGCGCTTTAGGGTGGTGGCTCAGTTAGAAAGCTTTTCAAGACTTATGGTAACTTTTTTTTATTTGAATTCAATAATGGAATTTCTGAAACTTCATTTAGGGTAGAGTTTTCCCCACAAATCTGCCTTGCGACTAGGAAAGCGGTATCTTGGTGGTTGTTTTAGTCACTGTACTTCTTAACATATTCTTCTGGTTGCTGAATATGTGGAAGCTGAAGAGGGAAAGTTATCATTCTTCATGCCTCAGAACTATGCTGTCAAAATTATTTTATGACCTTTTAAATTAAACCTAGGGCATTGCAGTTACTACTCCCTACATTTCTGTGTGTGGATTCTAGAATACACGTAAGCTGCTAATGATGCTACGTAGCCTATGGCCCATGAACCCACACTGCTTTTCTTTAGAGAGGGAAAAGGGAAATCTTGTTTCAGTTAGCAAAGGTTTGCACTTTTTGTGTGGAACTTCAGAAAGTGCCTCCTCGGAATGTAAAACCTCTGGCAAAAAGCCTGAGGGGTAAGTGTGGATGCTTTTAGTAGGCAGATGAATATCCTAAAATGCATCAAATTACTTTTTTAAAAGTGAATGTCCTGTAAATGTGACGCCATGTCGTAGGCACATAGAAACATCTCTCTTCAAATGTGCAAGCTTTACATTCACTAGAAACTCTTGAAGTATAAATGATTATAAACTCTTTTTTTCTACTACTTTCCTATGTGCATCTTCCCTAAGGAAAATGATCCCGTCAAACAATTCTACAGCTGCAAAACACAGACATTGTTTGTTCCCTACCTCACTTTAAGAATAAAACCTTCAAATGGAGTGCTTAAATTGTATGGAAAGAGAGACAGTATATAAAACCATGCTGGCTGCTCAAGTTAAGCCTGCCGAATCTCTTTGGATGCTGCTACTGGATGTCAGCACAGGGCTTGGCAAGGGGAGGCTTGGTGGCTGCCACAGGAGTATTGGGTGGCTGGGAGGGATAATTGTCTTCAGTTTAGCCCACATTAAAGCATGACATTAACTACTGTGGAGATGTGGGTGAGCTGCTGTGTACGTACATGTCACAGAAATGTTTGGAAGGTAATTCTGGAGGTCATCTATTCCAGTCTCTGCTCAAAGCAAGGCTCTAGTCAGCACTAGATCAGGGGTCTCATGTCTGGCTTCAGTATACATGGAATGAATTTGTTTGAACCAGTCATAATGCCGTTCATTGAACTGGACTCCTCCACAGCTTGTTTTAATTTAAAACAAATTTGAATCAGTTTAGACAGCTTCTTATTGTGGCATTCAATGGTGTGTTTTAAATATTACAATTTTTTAAAAATATAAAAAATACATATATGAAGTATTAACACAGATTAAATCCAACTGGATTTCAGGCAAATCCTCCTGGTGTGTTAGCATTACTGGATGAAGAGTGCTGGTTCCCTAAAGCTACTGACAAGACATTTGTGGAAAAATTGGTCCAAGAGCAAGGAACCCACTCCAAGTTCCAAAAGCCAAGACAGCTAAAGGACAAAGCAGATTTCTGCATTATTCACTATGCAGGGAAGGTAAGGGTTAAATGTTAAACACTTGGTTAGAAATGTTGGGTTTGGGAAAGTACTGTGGGGTATAGCTACCAAATTTAGAAATACCTGTGTGGGAGGATGGCCTTATTTCATTTTCTTAAATGTGCTCAGGAGTGCTGTGATGGAACTCTTGCCACCAAATAGACAGAACTGAAAAATCTAAATTAATGCTAAAATTAAGCAAATATTGTCAGGTCTTACAGGTGAGTTTTTTCAGGACTTGTCTTGAAAATCTGAATATTTATGTTTCCAAGTTGATGGTATTGCTTGAAGTAGAGCTGCATTGATACCCTCTTCATTTTTAACTCCTCACTTCACATAAGATTTTCTGTATAGCCCCTTTTATAGGTAAGCTGATATCTTTCTGGTTTTACAGTTAGTTCAATCTTTATTTTCCCATTGAAGGATGGAGCTCAGCTGCAATATGAACAGGTCCATAAAATAACTGTGCAGTTCTTGTCAGCATTTTGTGGAACCTTCATGATCATCAGCTCTATTCCATAGGGCCCTGCTATGGAATTAGTTTCATAAATAGTTAAAACTTAATCCTAGTACCAGTTTTTGCTCTGCTAATTAGAAAAAACTGTGCTAATAATTAAGAGTCATCCTTTAATTCTCATTTAAAGTACTATTGGCTTCTTGTCATCTAATCTTTGTCAATGGTGGCAAGTAGACAATTGTACCAAAAATTGAAATAAATTATACATTTTATTGTATCAATATTTAAAACCGTAACTTAGAAATAATGACATCATCAGTGTTACTGCAGTTAGGAGTAGATTAGTTGGGAAACAAAAGGTTAGCTTTAGGTAATCAAAATGAAGTAAAACAGCTTGATGCCTGCCTACTAGAAAGTAGCTGTTCTGAAGAACGCTTTACTCCTGCCAAACTGAGCGGGCGTTTCTGGGGTGCTGGTGCTGCATTGTGTACCTGCCTCTGACAGAAGGCATTTTTCAATTTGCTATCAGAATGTGTATTTCCTTCAAAAGTAGAATCACTTGTAAAGTAGCTTTTGCTGCAAGAAGTACTAAGATGACGAGCTGATTTGGGTTTGGATGCTGGGAGCATTTAAATGTGGCGTTCCTTCCAAAGCCCGTGTTTAAAAACAGAAAACTCAGTTTGTTTGAAGCAAAACCATGCTAGTCTACATTGGCCTTGGGGAATTTTAGGGCTCTCTTTTGGGCTGGGATGAAACCATACTGGTAGCATTGAGTTTTCAACTGCTGAGCTGTAGTTTAATTGCAAACCACAGAATTGGTTCTTTCAAGATAAGAGCTTTGTTTGCTTGCCTTGGAGAACAAAGTGTTTAAGTATAACTGCTATAGTGAAATTAAAAAAAACCCCCACAAACATGTTGCAGCACATCCTTAATTTACTGTCTAGTAATTTAGATAAAGTAATTAGGATCTATACTGGAGTTGTTTTTACGTCTTCACAGTGAACAGCGAAGCCTTATTTTGGCAATAATGCTAGACTGAAAATGTATACCAGCTATTAGTGAGCAAAAAGTCAAATTGCTGAATTTTTAAGATAACTCCCATTTACTCTTTCAAAAGAAATACAACTTTCCATAGTACTGTGAACTGTTCTGAGGAGGCACAACAAACTCATAGGCAGCAAAGATCAAGAAGAGAATAGGAGGAAAACATTGGTATGGTATTTTGAAAGCTTTATTTTTTGATGCTAGTAAACTTAAAAGTAAAGCTGGTAGTGTGTCTGATCATGTGCAACTTGGCTACTCTACAGGTGGACTACAAGGCGGATGAGTGGTTGATGAAGAATATGGACCCCCTGAACGACAATGTGGCCACACTCTTGCACCAGTCTTCCGACAAATTTGTTGCAGAACTTTGGAAGGATGGTAAGAGATCATGCTCTCAGTACACAAGATGTTAGCGATTTTACCTTGCTGGATGAGTTGGGGTTTTTTTGTGCCTGTTCCCTCCTCACCCTCCACCCCTACACTGTAAATATCTACAGCATTTTCTCTGTTGTTTAGTGCCAAAAGTACAAGGAAGCTGGGGTGTGCCTATGGTCCCTTGCACATGTATCATTTCTGAGTAGCTGCTTCTCATGTTCATTATTTGGAATTATATTCACTTATTCCTTGTTACCCTGTGTCAAATTTCATCTCTAGGATCTTGTCCAAAACTCTTAGTTTGAAGTCCTGCAGTTAAGTCCTGAATGTGAACAGCTACAGTGGTACTTGCTGTTAATAAAACGTTGTCTTACGTGAGCACCAGCACAGTTGTTTCTTGTGCAGTGGTGGGTCATATCCTGGAAATCTGCATCTCCTAAAATAAAATTCATTAACAGCCATACTAGTGCTTAGATATTGCATGTTAAAATCAAATGCAGTATTTTCCTATTTTAAATCACTGCTGTTTAGCTAGACTACCTGCACATCAGCTTAAAGTATTTGTCGACATTTTTACCAACATACCCCAAGAAGCATACAAGGACTTGTCTAATCTAGTTTTTAACATCACAGTGTAATACTTAGAGTATATTTACATGCCACAGTAAATCTTGTCATTTCTTGTTCCAGGAGAAAATTAATGTTGTGATATAGATGATGCTGTAGGTTAATACTGAGTTTCAGTCTTAGTCTCAGGAATACTTACTTTGGTTCAGCTACAGAGAGCAGTTTTAGTGAATATATAAAGAACTTTTTGGTTGGGGATCTGCTCCTTTCCTTTCAAGTACACGCACAGAAGCAAAAGTGTTTTGGTCCAAATATGCAAAACCGGCTTCCACAGATAATTGAAATGTGCATGGAATATGTTGTGGCCTAATTGCTTTTGTAGCACAGTTAAGTCTGTTTGCAATTGATAAACCTGTTCTGTATACTAACTGAAGTGTCTTGTGTATCTGCTCTTCTGTCTTTGTTTTTGCTGTTTCTCTGCCTTAGAGATTCAGAATATTCAGAGAGCCTGTTTCTATGACAATATTACTGGCCTTCATGATCCACCAGGTGAATGGATATAAAAACAGTAGGCCTACTAAAGGCAGGGCTGTTGTATCTACAGGAAAACCATTTTTGCTCGTAGGCTTGCATGAACTTTTCATTTCATGCTAAACTTAGGTATACCTCCACAAGGCAAGTAGTCTCTGAGTGCATACCTATTCAGTTGCTGCTGCATACATATAGCATTTATAATTTATGCATTGCATTTAAGCATTGCAGATAAAAAGGTTTGTTTGCTTCCTAAATCCATGTTGAGATGCAGAATTGCTTATTAAGTGATAATTCTGGTAGCTCCAGGCATTTGAGAGAATGTGTAAGTTTTATAACACTATCAAGCTTCTTTCTGCAGTCCAACATTGACAAAACTCTGGAACATTTCAGAGTGTGGATGTATTTTTTGGGGGAGGACAGCTGAAGAACATATTGAAATATGAGTGCTGCAGTTGTAGTGGGGTTAGTAAGTGAACTAAACTTCTTTCAGACTTGTTGGAATTGTTCTTTTCAGAAAACTCTTAATTTTAATATTTCCCTGTGTAGAAGCTGCACACGGTTTTTGAGGTATCAAGAAATCATCAAATTGACTTATTTGGGATGTCTGTTTGAAGATATTTTAGATATTTTTATCCAGCCTCTTCCTCATCCTTCTTGTATTCCTCTCCCCAGGTTTAGAAATACATGTACGTGAAAGCTGTGCCTTCAGACTCTTGATCTTTACTGGGGTTTATCTTCCACTACTCATGGAAGCTAGTGGTGTTTCCTAAAGCAGTTACTAGAGGGCTTGAATTCAAAGGCTTTAGCCAATGGATGATTTTCCAGTTGTGCTGTTCAATGACTGCTCTTAACTTGTAGGGAAGGCTTACTTTTAACTTAAGTAATCCTCATTGAATTATAAATAACCGTATTAGTTGGAAGACAGAGGAGAGCAAAGCAAAAGATGCACAACTAAGATTTATTTACAAAATTCTAAAAAGCATGTGGCCAAACAAAAGCTGAATAGTGTCCAGTCAGTAGTGGTGCCTGGTGGGTGCATGTTTCTAACACTTACAGAGGATGAACATAACAGCTTTTAAGGCTGATTCCCAGTAATCTCTATCCCACTTCTGGTTTAGACCTGAATTCTGCTTCAAAGTAAATATTTGGGATATGATCTTATGAACAACTTACCACCTACTTATTCTTCTAACTTTAATAAGCCGCTTAAGTTCTTATGTTCAAAACTGTGTGGAGGATCTGGGCTCTGCTCTATACGACATGCAAGACTTACAAGTGATTATTCAAATTCATTGCCCTGTATTTTTCTGCTTTTAATTTTTGTTTTTTATAGACCTTTGAAAACCAGTTGAGTACGAGTATGAAATAAAATATTGTCACTTATTTCTCATACAGAATTAATTCTGGTAGCAAAGCATAATTCCCACTGCTTTGGTTTGAATGAATTTGAAGGTAATGTCACAAAATTTAAATTGTAGTCTACATGTAGTTGCCTGTTTCTGGCTGGCCAGCTTGGATTTCATGGAGAACCAATATAAGTTGTGTATTTGCTCAGAACTAAGAAGTGCCAGCTCTAATTATGAAGGTGTTAAGCCACCTGTGTCACTTTTAGTGCACTGTTTAAATAACTATTGACATGCACATGGAATCACATTCATGTTTTGGCTTAAAGATTTTAATTATGGCAGTCAGATTTCTAATTTGTGCTTCTGAAGAAGAAACCATAGAGATCCTTACCCAAAATGTTCAAAAAAAAAAAAATCAAAGAAAATTCTTTATTCTGATGCTTTATGGCAGCTTTGAAGTGCTTTGGTGTGCAGTTTTTGCGTTTTGAAACTTGTCTTTTGGCTAGGGAGGTCTTTGCTGTATATAAAGCTAGAAGGGTTCTTCAAAATAGCAGACTAGCAGAAGTCTGGCAGATACATTTTCCCCTCTTGTCACTGAAATAACACTATTTCCAACTCTTCTGTAAATAGTTATGCTTTCAAAATACTTTTTGAATTGTCAATGAAACTCAGATTTAATCTATGTAATTACCATGACTCTTCATTTTAAGCAAATATGCACAGATGTCTAATTCCACATATTCAACCCAGAAACATTTTTCGTTGTAAGAATTCAAATAATTGCCAGTTTCCAGGCAACTTTCTCTCTCTTAAAAGTTGACTTACAATAAAGAAAATGGCTTTCCTGGTCATGTAGAACTGCAAGTAAAGAGCTGGATATTTTAGTGTGTACCTACTAAAGCTACACTATTCTGCTGTATAAGTTTGTGGCTTTTGGTTCCACTGCTTCTGCACAGCGTCCCTAGTACTTGCTGACTGCCTTGCCTACTGGTGGCATCTTCTGTCATTTGTCCCACAAAGCTTCTGCTGCTGCACTATTGCTCCTCTTTCTGCCTGTCCTTATACCTGACAAATATTAAAGTCCGCTTAATTATTTTCTCTTGTCCTTCCCAGTGGATCGTATTGTGGGTCTGGATCAGGTCACTGGAATAACAGAGACAGCTTTTGGCTCTGCGTACAAGACCAAGAAGGGCATGTTTCGTACTGTCGGCCAACTGTACAAAGAATCTCTCACCAAGCTGATGGCAACGCTCCGAAACACTAATCCCAATTTTGTTCGCTGCATCATTCCAAATCATGAAAAGAGGGTACGTACTACAGACCATTCCTCTAATTCTTTTTCTTTATTAAAGTCTTTACCTGCATTTTAAGTTAGGCATGCTGTCTGTGTCTTCCTTTTGAAATCAGAAGCCAGGTTCTACAAAGTTTTCACGCTGATCAGATATCTTCTCCATATTCCCCACACATCCCCTTATTTAGACAGTTGACTTTGTAGAAGGTAGCCTGAAAAACTTAAACTACAGGTTTTCATTAATACAAATTAAAAGAATAAAAATCATGCTTATTCTGTTTCTCCAGGCTGGAAAATTGGATCCACATCTGGTTCTAGATCAGCTTCGTTGCAATGGTGTTTTGGAAGGAATAAGGATTTGTCGACAAGGATTTCCAAACAGGATAGTGTTCCAGGAATTTAGACAGAGGTAACAGCAGGAACAGTCTTTTGAGGTTTTTATGAGAGAAAGTTCCTTGTTAAACAATTGAAGACACCCCCCACCACCACCACCACCCCCACTCCTTCCACAACCAGAAAGAAAACAGAACCCATGTGCGAGGTCTTGAAGTGGCTTGAACTTGAAGCAGTTAAATATCACAAGTTTATTCTAAAGGCGCTAGGGAAGGGGGGACCAATCTAAAATCGACTTCTGGAAAAACTTCATGAAGGAATTCCTTAGCCGTGCACTCAATGACTGTAGCTTTTTGTTGAATTTAAAGGTTGTTTTTCATTTGACTTTTTAAGGTATGAGATCCTTACTCCCAATGCAATTCCGAAAGGTTTTATGGATGGTAAGCAAGCCTGTGAGCGCATGGTAAGTGTTTATACCTATATATTGTTAAAACATTGAAAAGTTGGAACAAAAAATATTCTTTCCTTGATGTAAAAACATTGTGCTTACCTACCCATTTAGATCAGAGCATTAGAGCTGGACCCCAACTTATACAGAATTGGACAGAGCAAGATCTTCTTCCGAGCTGGTGTCTTGGCACACTTAGAAGAAGAACGGGATCTGAAGATCACAGATATCATCATCTTCTTCCAGGCAGTCTGTAGAGGATACCTGGCTAGGAAGTATGCATGCTCTTTGGTTTGATTTTCTTGTGGTCATCTCTTTGATAGGGAGTGGTGCATTAAAACTTCCATTTCAGGAGAGATTTTCATAAGAAAGCATACTGTCTGATAAACTGTAGTTGTATCCGGGGTAAATAGGTGATTTTTTTACCTAAGAATTAGTACCTTCATTCCATAGCAATATTTCCTTTCCTTAATCTTCCCTTTGTGACATGTGCAGCTGCTTGTGGTACAGCTAGTGGCTGCAAAAAGATCTCTCTACTCCACTGGAAGCTCTTAAGAGAGACTCTGGAAAGTTGCTTTTTTGAAACTAAAGGATACCTCAGCGTCTAACCCATCCTGATTTTATCTGTTTAAGAAAAAATTCTGTTAAGAGTAAGAAAAAACAGCATTTGTAATTATTGTTTTGAAAATCGTGAATCCAGCTCTTGCTCTGCCTCTTCATATAAGGAATGAGTATTCATAAATCAGTGTAGTCACTGAAACTTAAAAATAAGCCTATTTATGGTCTGCAAGTGTTCTAGGGTCTGGTAACCTAAAAATTAAAAACATGGACAGATGCTCAGCTGTATTTAACATGAAATGTTTTTCTCTTTCTCTCTTCAGGGCCTTTGCAAAGAAACAACAGCAACTGAGTGCACTGAAAATCCTGCAGAGGAATTGTGCTGCATATTTAAAGCTTAGGCACTGGCAGTGGTGGAGAGTCTTCACAAAGGTTTGTTATATTCTGTAACTTTCTTTGACTTCTGTAAACAGGTAGATGCAGGTTCTTACTTGTTCCTTTCAAATCTTTGTAGGTGAAGCCTCTTCTTCAGGTCACTCGTCAAGAAGAAGAACTTCAAGCCAAGGATGAGGAGCTAATGAAAGTGAAAGAAAAACAGACAAAAGTGGAGGCAGAACTTGAGGAAATGGAAAGGAAACATCAACAGGTTTGTGCCCAAGATCGCCTTTTGATATGCAGAATGTATATTGCACTATATCCTGTGTGAGGGAGCCACGTTGGGGAGATGCTTGTGAGCAAAAGCACTGTGAATCAGGAGAGCTAACTCCCTTCACACTCTGCTGATATCTGGAATAGGAAGATGTAGCATGAGCTATTCCTCCAGGAATGCAGAAACATTGTATTAATGAAACAAAACTTTTTTTTCGGCCTTTCCTAGTTTACAGAGTTTCAGTAGCAGTGTAATTTTCCTTTTCAGATGTGTTTTTGGGGTAGGATACTTCTGCTGTGGTATACATTAAGACATGGGGAAACAATTATGACAATGCTTAGGGACATGGTTTAGTGGTGGGATGGCAGTCTTAGGTTAATGGTTGGATTCGATGATCTTAAAGGTCTTTCCAACCTAAATGATTCTATGATTCTATAATTATTGGACAAAACTGAAAATTAATTTATGTTCCTAAGTAACATTGATATCAATTTAAAGAACAGCTGAAAGAGTG